CTATCTCGAAGATAAATTCCGCTTCATATCCCGTCAACTCTGTCTGTGCTGCACGAGTGTAAAAGTGGATTATGTTTTGTATTTGGGGGGCTGATGGAAGTATGCCTGTTGAAGGATACTCCTATTTTATTTGTTTGTAGCTCATATAAATATGTAACGTGCGCATATTTTGGCATTAGAGGTGTTTCTCTTTTGGAGTGCCCTCGGATGCCTTGGTGAGCAAATACAGCAAGTTGGGTTACGGTGGGCGGCCTAATGAGAAACTGGGACCCTCCGTGCTTCGGATGGCATTTATAGGCCGAGCGAGCGCCGTACTCTAATTACAAAATTCGTCGGGAATAATTTATCGCTTTTAATTTGCGAAATTACGGGAATTACAGATTTTATAATTCCACAATGGGGAGTATATGGGGTGGTGTAGTATATATTTCAGCACCCACACAGGAATGTGTGTGTGTGTGTGTTATTCTCGCGAAGTGCGCAAAATGTACAACGCACACGGCTATAATTTGTGTATTTTTACTGTAGGTTCAGCAAGAAAGTTGGGAACAGTGCGAGAACGAATTTTCAGTTTAGTGCCTTTTGACCTCATTCGTCTCTCCACTCTCACCCTGAGTATTGTAAGTGAAAGTGCTTTCTGCTCGATGTAACCTTTGAAACGGAAAATGAATGTCTGATAAGGTTACTGTCTCCGTCTTTCTCCTATCTGGCGTCACAATTTCGCATCTTCGGAATTCTTTTTGTTATCAAGATAAAAGGAAATCATGTTCTCGTCCTCATGTAATATTGTGATTGTATTTGCTTTTAATTATAGTGCCAGCATTTTATCGATAAATGGTTTGAAAGATTCTGTGAAAAGGGCAATATTGTCCAATACTTTGATCTCGCACCGAACGAAAGCACATATCCTTGACTTAAGCCTTTCTGCGTTATCAGTTAAAGTGCTGCGAATATAGATAGAAAGTTCCTTCCACGTGCGACACTCCATAGAAAAAAAGATACACTTTTTGGATGCGAGTGGCAAGCAAGATGAAATTCATACTTGTTGGTTGGTTGTTTTTTCATTATAGCGAATAAATATTTGCTTTACGTGACATGTTTGATAAGCAGATATTTTCACCAGAGAGGCCCAATTTCACAATGGGCCGAGCCTCGAGAGTGAGTCTCCTGGAAGGGATTGAAATTTTTCCCCAACACCGCGCGTCGATGGTTATGATATGGTTGTGAAAAATCTCGAGAGAATATGGCGAGTTATGTATGAAAATAACGTGGCGCCCAGGGTGTTATTCGCCAGTGAGAAAAATAAATAACGTGGTGTAAAATAATCAAAATCAATGGTTGGCAGACGTAATAAATATGGTAATTTATCATGCTGGGTGGAGGAATGCTTTTTCAATTTAAATTGTTACCATTGTACAGAGTATATGTAGGCATAGGTGTTGGAGATAAAAAGACTGCCGCTTTTCCATCTACAGGCGTATGGAGATGTGTGTGATTATGTGACTTTGGCGTGGGAAAAGGCATTTCTCTCGTAATTCATTTTTCATATTAAAACGCGTACAGCAGTTTGGGAAAAGCGTATCGCTGTCGAGTGGGAAAGAAAGAGAGGAGTATTAAAAACGAGCGACATGTTGAGACAGGGTGAAAGGGTAAATTCCATGCTCATAAATTGTCAGTTTTCCAAAATTAAACTTTCCACACGGGAAGAAATGTTTCACAATTTGAGATGTATATGGCAAGAAAGTTTTTCGCACCGCCCCCAGCCCTTGTTTTGGGGTTTTATGAAAATGGAGATAGAGGACTTTGTCGTAACTCTGAGTGCCATTTATATCACATATGTACAGCGCGGCATTCATGATAGCGATGGAATAACGTGACAGGAAGTAGTGAAAATACTGGCGCTAAACTTTCTCCCTCAAATTTCACCCCGCGCCAAATCTCACAGTCTCATCACATTTTCAGACGGTTGACAAAAAACCACGGCTGGGCGTCAGCATCAGGTTGTTGCTAAAGAATGCACAATGTAAAAGCATGATGTGACTAAAAAGCCCTTAATATCCACTAGTGTGAGCGTCAACTTGTCACAACTTCGAGGGTAGCGCGGCGTTGATAGAATTCATTACAGGTGCACCAGTGCTATTTTAAATCCGCATTCCTTGATTTAGAGACTATCTGTCAGCTACGTAGTGAAGAGACTGAGCAAATGTTCGCTGAATAGTGCTAATACGGAATTAGCACTGCCAAATAACACACTGAAATGGCGGAGAACGTAAGATTAATTAGGTTGAAGTTGGGGAATTATCACGGCACAGCACTGTTTCACAAATGTTGAGTAAATTTGTGGATATAGAGGAATAGAAAATTGGGCATAAAGACACACACTAATCCGTGTTCGCTTACAAACCATCACATATTCGACAAAAGTTGCGTATTTTCGTATTACACACAAAAAGCGAAAGCCAATCAGTATTCTACAAAAGCCATGGACAATTTTTGCCAAATTGTCTATTCTTTACACCTAATTGAGCCTCGAGATAAAATTATTTATTATCAATTTGTACACCACTCGTGGTGAATACGTAAGAGCCAGAGCGAAACACCATCTAAAACTGATACTGCACAGCGTACTGTCCTATGTGGGTCAATGGCAATTTCTACCTCGAGTGGAAAATAAGCAGATGGTATCAACCGAAATTTCCACATTGTTGAGAAATATGAAAAAAACGTCTCAGCACGGCACTTGATTCGTCTTATCTCAAATCTATGCAGGCACGGAGAACATATTTCCAGTCCCTGCCCTGACGGGGTAATAAACGGATAAGAATGTGATTGTAGAGATGTGATTTCGTGAGGTGTTTGCGGATAAAATTGCTTCGTGAGACGGTGGAGAGTAGGTGTGTTTTGTAGATTTTTACAGGTTTATAATTGAAATAAATAGAAAGGAGAGAACAAGGAGTAGTAATATAAATAACATTGGTGCAAACTAGGAGAAAAGGGAAACTTGAAATTTGATGATACTTGAAGACTTTCGCTGGGTGAAACTATCGTGTTTCACCCGGAAGAACATGAAGTGGAAAATCCTCCGGGGGATTGCTTGCCTGAGGCAGAGCTTTTGGATATTATCATGGTAATAAGTGTTTATAGTGAGGCACTTTGGATTTACCATAGATGCATACTTTCGGGGAAGTTGCATTATGGCTCCTGCCGCCTCTCAGACGATCTGGCGTCTCTTGAGCTTTAAACACCCTCCAACTCAATTCGATTTTCATTCTTCAGCGAGTTAGCTGACGATGGGGCTATTTCAGCAGCAGCGATATGGCGATAGTATTGGTGGTATTAAGGGTTGATTGTTGCTCATGCACGAACCATACTCGATGATATTCATGAAGCCATTTCATACTGCCTGATAAAAGTGCTCTCATGTGTCCAAAAATAACCAAACTTCAGTCCAATGAAGAGTGCAAACGCAAATGTTTTAATAGAAATGCCCAACTTGAATATGATTACGATATAGCGCTCGATGGAAATGAAATTTGGATATTCATATCTACTATAAATTTAATAATGGAAAATGCAAAACGGACTTGCCCTCATAAACTATGAAAACGTACCCAGTTGAGGTCACATAATGTCGAGATCACAGTGCTCAGGGCAAACACAAATGGATTTATTGTGCGAGATTAGATCTAACAAATCCATAATTTTGCTGCAATATCGCAAATTCAACCATGCATTTGCTCTTCTCTGTTTGCACTCTCTTCAATTACTCTTCTTCTTTGCACGATTGTTTTCCCTCTGCAATGCTCCATTTGGGGTGCAAATGGGACTTTATGAGGATGTTTAGTTCTCACGAGCTCTAAAGTCAATGGTTTTGAGAAACATTTCATTCTAACATGCACAGTGTGATTTGTGTTTAATATTTTGCTCAGCATAGCATATTAAATGGCGTGACATAAATCTCTGATAAGAGATCATCCATCTAAAACGACAAAAGAAAATATTCAATTTAGTGCTGCAGATTGATTTGCCCGATACAAATATCATTAAGAAGTAACATGGAAGGGCGTCTCGACGAAAAGGAAAATTTGCTATAAATCACGCCTTCGTGAGAAAATTAAAATCGTGTTTCTCCCCATCTCTTCCTTTCAATCCAATTTTCCTCTTGAACACCAAGCATGGCCTTTTTTCCTTCCATTTACCATGAGAAAGCTCGTTGGGGAAAAATAAACATTTTGCGCCTCGGTGAGGAGTCAAGAGTGTTCTCAGCATATGCCATTAAATAGGGCAATTTTAGAGAAATTCACTCTTCGCAGCTCTTTTGCATGTGACTTTTTACATCATGATTCCCTGTGACGCTCCATCAAAGTGCATTGGACAATTTTCTCATCGCAATGCTGAGACGAAATTGCACAAAGAAATTGTTTTTCCCACCGTCAATTTCTTCTCTGGGTCGCCGTGCGAAAGTTTCATTCGAGAGAAGAAACTTTCCATCATTCTAGCAATTGAGCAGGACTGAGAAAATTGCATGTTTATTCTTGTGGCGTGTTAAGTGAGTAAATAAGCTCTCCATTCTTCATGTAGCGTTTTTTTACAAGAAATATAAATAAGCCATAAATATCAATAAAGTTTGCAGAAAGTCAACACAACTTCCCGAACAGATGCATTTTACAAGTGAGGGAAAGAGGAAAAATCCAAGAGGAAAACTTGCATCGTAACTTTTCTTCACATCTGTTTACACTGGCCATTCGTATTGACTATTTTACTAAAGCGTTTCCGTTTTTATTACCCCTTTTATCAGAGAGTCTCGTAATCTATTGTGAAAGTTGATAAATTATAAGCCGACGCAGAAACGTTTTACTGGATTATTTTATACTAATAACCGATTATCGAAACAAAAGTGATTCAAATTAAATCGTTGAAAAAGTAAATTGTGCATAAGTAATTTCTGCAAAATGGGAAAAATGAAAACCGATAAATTTTTAAAAGCATCTCTTTGTCCCTCTTGTTTGATTTATTCCACTCCAACCAGGAGATTTTAATTTAACTATACCGCCTAAAATCTCCACTCCATCACGAAGAGTTATAAATGGTGACAGGATGTAATTCATCGTTTTATCTCATTCGAAATAAATCACTGAATTTCTGCAGAATGTCTCGTCGAAACATTATTTCATCTCTTCCATACATAGTTTATTTGCTGTCTCTGGATATCTGACCTCATTTTCTCGGCAAAAGAAACATCAAAGGGTATCAACTGGGGGGTTGATAGTTATCGTGTGGCCCCGAAGGATGAGGCGAGAAATGAGGCCAAGTCTTGATCTCATCGAATAGCTTCTGACCCGGACACTCAGTGTCCCGCACTTGCCGATGTCCAAGGAGAGTGTAGTTCCTGGCGATGTGGCCCTCCTCCACTCCGGCCTGGATGAGTTTGCGAACGGCCCGAAGCATTTTTTCCGGCGGCAATTTTTCTGTGGAGCGCAAACAGTGATACATTTTTTGTTTTGTTCCAACTCGAAGTTACTGTGATTTTAATTCATTCTACAATACTTTAAATTCACATCTAACTGTCAGATGATTGTGGCAATTTTTTTTTAGAGTTTATCCGTAACGAGAGAGATCAATGCAATCAGACACTTTATAGTCAGAACTAGAGCTATAATCTACTTCTGAATTTGATATCTAGTTCTAGGCAATTCAATTTTCTTCCTCATATATTCACAAAAGACGATATTTCAACCGAGGCCACGCATAAATTTTAGGCCACTCTGCTGAGTTTGAGGGAATAATTCCATGATGCATCGCTCAGGTAGAGCACAGAGCATTTCAGCTGGAAAGCTTATACTGGCATGGATTCGGGATTGATGCTGTTTTCAGGGCAATTGTGCAGCAGAATAATCCCTTAGAGAGATACCGAAACGCCACAATATTTCATATGGATCTGAACAAATGATGAACTCACCTCTCCAGTCGCCAATTAAACATATTCCCACACTCTTGTCATTGTAACGAGGAGCATGTGCGCCAATCACGGAAAAGCCTCGACCCTGCCATGGAAGAGAATACAATCAGTGATGGATTTTGGTATGTTCTAAGGACTTTTCTCGTAGGTTTAATGCGAAAAATTGAAAAGTTTGCATGTGAGCTTAAGCACGACGCCTTCAATTGCCTCCATACTTTGAGAATCTTCACTTTGCGCTTAAGCTAAGCTATTTTCATGCAGAGATTAAGGAATAATTCGACTAATGATTCCTACTAATGATCGTGAAAATGTGAAAAGTTTCCCAATGAGTATTACCATGTAGATATTTCCGTCGCCTCCAACTCCGAAACTGTACCCAATATCATTCCATCCTCGTTCGTTTTGGTGGAAATCTTGCATGTTCTGCATCGCCTTGACACACTCATCGCCGTTGTGGCACTCTAATTAAAAGATAACTATTTAATTTTGGGTCAAATACAGAGAGATGCGCACAGAATCCACAAGTACACCCACCTCCAGGAATGTAGGAATGATGAATGATCACGAATGGCGCTGGACCATTGAATGTCTCCACTAATTTCGGCGGGGCTGCTCCCCATTCACACCGGCTCACAATGTCTGCATTCCGCATGCGGGAAGAAAGAGACACAGAGAGAGAGAGAGAGAGAGAGAGAGAGAGAGAGAGAGAGAGCACAGAAAAATTACTATTCCATATTTTGCACAAATTAAATATACCTTATCACAGACTTCTATTATAAGTTTGGAAAAATAGAGTTTGGGATGCAAAAACATACATATTTTAAAATTCCCATTGGTCTTTGATAAAGAGAAAAAGTATAATTTATGAATTCACTCGGGATTCACCGAATATTAGATTTTCATTGTGACACAAATTTTTTCACTTTATATTGGATACAAAATAAAGTTTTGGACGCAAAAAATTAAACTGTAAAAAGCTTTTCATCAAATTCGAAATATTTAATACGATTGAATATGTGTATGCAACACGTCGTATTTTTTCAATTTGAAAAATTCAATTTGTAATCACTCATGAATATAGCATGGCTTTTCATTGAGGTGAGAAAATAAATATATATATATGTGCAGTATACTATACAGTCGTGTACACTTTCAAAAAGCAGGTAATTACAATTTATTATTTATTTCCTTTCTGTAAAGGCAAATAATAACGAGTTACCTACTATTTCAAATAATTGCAGATTATATCATCAACCACAAAAACAGTTGCTGCACATTAAATTTTTAAAGATTCTCAATAATTTTCTAATATTATCTTTTTATCTAAACGCCTAAAAAACGATGAAGTTTTTGTCATATTGATATAAATTTACGTATCTAAATTGATTGCAGGAAATTATGCTTTTTATCACAGTGAAATCACATCAATTTTCATTATTTTGCATTGCATTACCCGACAACGCGGAGAAATATAGCACTCTTGCAGCAAAATCCACACCGGGCATGTTTCTGGATTAATACTATCTCCACCAAAAGCAATAAATAATCAGGATGTGTAAGAATACAATTTACACAATTTTCACCATCAATCAACTCAAATGGATTTAGTCTCTTTGGTGTTATTGCTAATTAGAGCCGATCAATATTTCACACTCCGCGGAATATTGTACCGCGGACGACTATCACCAACTAAGTGAGTATTTGGACTGTCTCTCACTTTTATACATTTGGCCAGTGTGACTCCCCAGCAAAATACCAACTGTTTTGTTGGCATTTGAAGGAAAAAATCACAAGCGGTGCGCGTAAATTGTACAAACACAATCTCTTAATGATTTCATACACTCAATCATTAAGTCGTAGCAGTGTAATCGAGAGGGAAAAAACTGTGAGAATTGTTGACACTAGATAAGGTGCCTCAAAAGTGTCACGAGGAGATACGCAATACTATTCCACCCAGGATCATCAACACATTGGCGTGTTAAGCGAAATTCACAAATTCTTGTAGACATTTGTAATCTTTTTCGATGAAGTGGCAAATTTTTTGGCTCATTATCGCGCCACTGACTAACTCAATAACTGAATAAACACACGATTATCTGTGTAATTGCATTCCCATGTGAATCCACTGGAGTTATAATTCCTATTGATACGAGTTTGTACAGCGACTTCCGAAGGTAGAGGTTAAGAAGCACAATATTGTTTATAGATTTACACAAATGTTCGCAGAACACAAAGGAAAGTGTGTGACTTTTCAATTGGCATATCAAAAAGCAATTTGAAGAAAGTGGAGCATGTCACAATATATTGAGTGCCATTGAAAACTCTCCCATCCTTGACAAATTCCTTTTTTTGATATGGATAATGTTACAAAAAAAAAATTCGCATTGTATATTTCTTCTCAAAATCAATATTTGACCAGCCACAATATCTCAGGAATTTTCATTACAATGTGTTCGACGGGGGTTTCGAGCAAACAGAAAATTCCTTCCATCACATAAAACGCCTTTTCATCTATTCTCAATAAAAATCATTTATGTTCACACTTCATGCCCAGTTTTCGAAAAGTCAGTGTGCAAAAAATGGCCGAAACAGCAAACATAAAAATCACAAACAGAAACGGTGCGTGTTTGTTCTTTTCAAAGCTCCACGGAAAGCTCATTAGAGTGTGTTGTTTGACTTTTGCCAAGCTTGTGAGGAAAATGCGAAAATTCACTTTTCAGAGTGCCATTATTTTCTTTTATGTTGTCTGGCAGAGTCGATTTTTTCATATTCCAAGTTTGATGATTTTATTTTGCAGCAAAATATTTGAATAATCTCGATGCATTTCCTGTTATTATGGCGGTGATGTACCGAAAGTTTTGTGCAGTTTCGTTGAAAAATTAATTTTGTCGTCGTTTACACAGCTGAACCACATTTTCAAAACATTGCATCATTGTAGGTACACAAACATGAAGAGGTTCTTCCCCGAAAACCCACAGTTGAACCCTTTCCATCTAACAAGTGGTCATGTGGGTCACGAAGTGTTTCTTCACCTTCGATCAGTAGGAAATTCTTGCATATATCTTCATGTTTATTACATTGCCGTGAGAAAATCCGGTTCGCAAGCATCGTTGTAAGTGGGGAGAGAAAGCAATTTACAGACGGGGAAGTCCCTCCTCTGTCGTTTTTTCTGCTTATCTCGCAAGAAATTTCATATTCCTGAACCTGACGATTGCCAACACGATTTTTTCAGCACCAGATGATGAGCTCAGAGAGCAGTGAACCACTCTCAAGCACACCCACCGTTTTGTCCACAATCCACAGTGAATTAATTATGATTATGACATGAGGACTCTTTGGGGGGAATCAGAGTCGTGGTATTGCGGTAATTTATGACTGCCGAAGCAACACATAATGCTTATCTGCTGCTGAGCTGAAGACGATTTCGACGCTAAATGGCAATAGGACGTATTTACAATTCACCCACTTGGACCATGTGCAGTTGTAAAACGAATGAGTAACTGTCGTCGACGTTTAAGGGGTGAATTTAAACTCTGTGTGGCACAGTACAAATTATCACATTGACAGTTTATAAACATCAATTGCACATTTGCTCTCCCCGTTCAACCACTTCATTTCCCAACCCACAGCAGCCACCGATGGGGTCTGCAACGCCAGTCTCACTGTCCCACAAGACTGAAATTCATGCACCCTGAGACATCACGAGTTCACAAGTGCGAATATATGGAGTAGAAATGAGTAACTCCTCGGGTTCCCCTAATTTTTAATGTACCTGAATTTATCTGAGTGTTCGCAGAGATCTTCAGTACACAACATACCCAGGGAGTCTCTGTGTATGCTCAACTCAATTGCTCTGACTGCTGGTGGTGCAGACATGACGGCAGTCAAAGGAGCAGAAGGATGTTCTGTGAGCGCAGAGGAATGGGAGAATGAAAGGCGAATGGGAGTACAAGAGGTGTGTAAAATCGTATTTATTTTCAAATTGATGGCGGTACAGGAACGAATCGACTGTGAACTATTTTCGCCTCTCTTCATCGTTTATCTACCACCCACCACTCAGTCGTCCTGGCTTCAATCATTCTTCTAGGCCACCCACCCTGGCTTTCCTTTTTAATTCACCGAAAAAGCAGGGACGACGATGCGGGGAGTGTGAGTAAAAGTGAGAAAATGTGTATGTGTATTTGTATCCGTCGATCCGATTGAAATGTTCTCGAGTGAAATATCTAACATTAGACTTTCGAGTATTTACGAAATCTGTACATAGTTCAGTTTATATGGCAGCGTCTGTAGCTAGAAGTTATAAATGCCACCCCTCCTATCAGCAGCTCTCGTCTCCACACGCTGGCAGGGCATAAATTCAGAGGATTGAAGACGGAGGGGCAGAACAGGCCTGAGAATTTGTGGAACACCTATAAAGGGGAGATCCGGCGAATACGTGAGTTGTCTACACAACTCGCCACGGTTAGTGGCAGCCGAGCTCAATATTCTCATATGGAAAGCTCTCTCACGCGGCACTAGAACGGAACATCGCTTAAGTCCTTTGAAGGCACTCCCTGGATAATTCATATCATATTAAAAGAACGTGAGTATATGCGCATCTCACATTTTAAGTGGAATTTTATTTTATTCCCGCCGTATTTCTTCGTCGAGCATCACTTTCATATCCTTCCGCAAGAATCTCATCCAAAGATACACTCTGCGAGGATGTGGCAGGATGCTGAACTGCACTTGCCTCTCTGTACAGCTCTCTATATGTACATCCAACGGTATGGGGAATTTCATTTACTATACACCATGAGTCTCGTGGCTGTGGAACGCGTATGAAAATTTTCTATGCTTTACTTCAGAAAATTAGCTTTTTTGCCAACTAGATGAATTGATTCACCCTGTAAAAGCGTGCACTAATTTGTTAATGAGGAAATAATTGTGAAACTTTATTGACGAGTTGGCAGACAAAGACTACGTCTGAGTTGGTAATTTAATTTACACTTTCTTGGGAACATTGCTTATCGCATAAATGGCTTCAATCTGCGGCAAAATTTCACACAAATACAATGACGTAGGGGGAATTCAACCCACTTCAAGTTGACTTGAAAGCATGTTTCAATTGAAATCTCAGATGTGCGAATTGTGAAAAAAATCCCCATGATAACAAAATCTACAACCTCTTGAAAATTTGCCATATCGAGATGGTTGTTGAACATTAACCGATAACGCAAGCTACATTTAGGTAATCTTATATTTGATAAGAGGAAGTAGTGCGAATTTTATTATCAACTCAAGAATGCATATTTCACTGCTGTTATACGTGCAGAATGCATCGTTTCTCTTTACTTATCAAGCACTTTCAATAAATAATGTGGCGTCCGCTACAATAGCCGGAAGCCAGCTACCCGAAATAGATGACAATTCGGATAAAGTGTCTCCTTGTGTGTGATGATGCTTTCTGTATGCGTCGTGAGCACAATAAATGTTTAATTAAACAACAAATTTCGTAGTGCAGAACGTGTACGGCAAGTAGTACAAAAGTCCTGAATCGGGGTTATAAAGTCTCTCTGAGATGCTGTGGGGCGAATTTTGAGCAGAGGAGCTTAACAACTGTAATATTTCAAATGACAGAACTTGTAATTGCTCGTTATTGAGTGCCGAGCTTTTGCCGTAGAGAATCGTGTTCATCGGAAAGTTATTGCATGATATTCATGGAGTAAATCAATTTGTTAACTCATCAATTTTCACCGTGCTCACTTGAAACTCTCCCTCATTTTTCCGGGCCGCGCGAGGAGTTCGTCTTGCCTAAAGGAGCCGCGCAAGTGAAGGTGCTTAAACATAAATTTCACCTCCGCCGACCGCATTTCTGTGAATAATTTGCAATGTAGAGAGTCTTGTTGATGATGAAGGAAAACACCCACCATATCTGAATTTCCTATTTGCCCAATGCAATCTGATAGCCCTCCACTATAGACAAGGTACAGCCAGGGAGGAAGGAACGATAAAAGGGAGAAATTTACATGTCCGGTACACAAAATTGTTGCAGAAATACCCCCTGTTTGCAATGATTTATTAATATTGCATGGGTTGGCTTTTCAAGCATCTCTCCCCACATAAAGTGTGAGAGCCAGAGCCTCGTGCACTGCCCCATTGTACTTCAAACTCTGCCATACATCAAAAGATACAGCAAAGTATTAAGGAGCAAGACTTGCTCCTCCTCGCCAGCCGCACTCATTTCACCCAGCACGGCAATTCTCGTGTACTTTAAGGTGAATTGTGTGCAAAATGGTATTACCATAATTACAACTATTATTTTAGCTTTAAGAATACTCCTGCGTGCCTCGCTGTGCATGGCACATAGACCGACCATTATGCGATGTGACACAATTTTTTTTTTAAATTAAAAAGCTTCATACATTTTTTAAATACACCCAAATTGCTCCGCTTTCATGCCACTTTTTCTACCCTCCATGGCCTCAGCTTTAGTCCACATTATTAATTTTATAATAATACTCTTATGACATGTCACATATTTTATGAACTCTGTGTTAATAATAAAATCCACTGTGCTCTATTTTTCCTCTTCTCCATGTATTTCACTACTTTTTATTTAAATACACGTGTATGCATGAACACATAATTCCTGAAAATAAAAGTGCTTTGGCGTTACATATTTACAAAGAGAAAAAGGCTTTGTGGATTATTTGTTTTTTAAATGAGACAAAAGGCTCGAATATGCAGAAAATTTGTATTTAACTTGGTAAATTTAATTTTGCTCTATCCATAGTCTTCCTTTTGTCTATTTCAATTTGATTTTTCTATGAATGTGGCGATTTTTGGGACTAATGTGTACATTCGAATTACCTTGCATTTCACATTTTATTCCGCTTTAATCGCTAAGGGTGTTTTTTGCAAACAGGCTATTAAATCCCAAAACATGACTAAATTTTTATGAAGCTGTGGCGGATCATAAACCCGGATACTGTGGTCATAAAGCTGCGCATTATGATCTTCTGATATTTCAGTTAAATCTCCTAATTTTTTCCATTTAATGATTTTCACATAGTCGCTCGTAAAAGCTTATCGAAATCATTGACTTTCAATGTCCCTCTCGAGGGCATAAGGATAACTTATCAACCAAGATGATAGGCGTGGTGAATGTAGATAAATTGTGGTTAGAGATTTTATGCAAACGGACAAGGATACTCTCAAATTGCTCGTGTCTCTCAAGTGATGAAAAGAAATCTCGGCGTCAATGAATGTATCTTGAATGCTTTGAAAAGAGGGGATTTATTGTGTGAAGCTTTCATGTGAGCAAAATCAAATTACCACGAGAGCCGCGGAAACAGATAAAGTGCACAATTTTCTGAGACGCGTGTGAAAAATTCTTTTTCCTCTTTACCATTTTAAAATTCCTCTCTCTCTCTCTCTCTCTCTCTCCTTCTCTATACAGTACACATTCTTGACAATCATGGGGCATGTGTGTAGTTGTATGTATGCAGAATATATCTCCTAGCTTGCAATAAGAAAGTCGTGAAAGGGATTCGTGTGAGTGGTGGCTGTAAAATGGATTCTTAGCATTTCCATTGAACACGAATTTCTTCAATTGACGATGGGATCTCTTGCCGCCAGATCGACCCCTTCTACCCTCTTTGTGAGTATTTTAAGTGAATTGAACAATTTTATGTTGCCAAGGGCGGAGGGGTGTGTATTTTATTGCATAAATTTTCTATTGAGCTGTACAGTGTATCAAATGTACCACATACTGTGCATAGGGAGATTACTCTGGGCGAAGCTCCTCTCAGATTTCCACAATCACGCACCCAGAGAGAGAGGGATAAGATGCCAGACAATCGATTGGTTCTTCCTTATTCGATTACAAATTTATTGCCAGGAAATTCAATCGGATCACTCCGCCAGTTGCCTTTTTTCGCCAACGGCCAAATTCTATGAGAAATTGGATTGGAATTAGAGATATTCCACGCAGAAGCCTATGCCCCAGGAGCTTTCGATCACATTTGCGCAGACCTCTAATAGTTTATATAAGCCCTCGAGCTCTTGCCACTCATTACACACAGATACAATTTAAGCCGACAGGTACGAATGGATGTTGTTCATTTTCCTCATTTGTCCACGTTGACTTTTTCGACTTACCTCCCACGCTGATGTATTTATATCATTCCACACTTTATTCCTGAAATTACCCAGAGACTATTAAGCAAATGCACCAGATTCCAGCGAACTATACAATAATGTCTGTCTGTATGTTGAGTGAAATATAAGTAATGCTTTTGCCACTAAAAGCTTCCCCCGTCATGATGATGCATTTCATTTATTTCCACCCCAAAAATTCGTGACATTTTCCCACCATTTGCGTGGCTTATCACACCGAGAAAGTGTCGGTGGGAGGGACACTTTTCCGCAAGTCTCCGGGGAAAAATAACTCCACACCGAAGATTAAGTTTCGCATGGATTTTAACTCCTGCTGCTCTTCAGCGACAATCAGTGCTTGCCTATGCATCTGTGGCAGCTTTTAAGTGAATCATTGGGAGTGAGACTGGGGAGAGTGGGAGGAGGTGATAAGCGCTGCGCTCAATAATGAGTTCCACCACAAATCCTTTTGCTGGCATTCATTGCCCCCTTCCCGCATCCGTCCGTGGTGAAGGATAAAGATTTTTGTGCAGACTCTTTAAAGTTGATTGAAAAGAAGTTTTCATTAAATTTGAACACAATTTGACTGGTAGCTTAAATGACGTAAATTATATTTAATGCATTTATCCCAAAATTTATCGCATACATAACACATAGCGCATAAAGCATAGATATGAATAATTTAATGAATGCACAAAAATATTGAAATTTATTTATTTAATAACAACTCAATTAACGCACAACACACTCTACATCCATCTATAGTGTGTTTAATGTAAGCAATAAACTTCAAATTCATTATATTCCAATTCCCAAATTTACTATGGAAAAAATTTATTTGCTTTCTACATAGTGTTTTATGTACATATAGATAGATTTTAATGGACAACAAACAATAATTATTTAAAACACTCTTGAGATATGGAATTGGAGATAAATGATGAGTATTTGGTTTGAAAATGGTCTCTAAAATGCTTTTTAGCTTGAATATCAATTAATTGTTCTATATAAACTCGACATAAAAAATAAACGTAAATAAGTAATAATGGAATCAATGGGAGTATGTTAAACAAATCCCACATAACGTCCATTGGGGAACTATTTCTCACACAACCACTCTCTGCATTCAAGCTGTGGCAATTCAGATGAAAAATACAACTGATTTGTCCTGGAATTTTTTGTCACAGCCCCACATTAATGGGGCCTCTTGATGGAGAACGAGAGGGTCAGAAGAGTGTCCGCATTGGTGACGACATTGTGGTGTAGTAATTTATTTGTAGGACCTCTAGCTGTTGAATGGTGGGTGACTGTGGTATAATTTTGTTAATTTATTTCGATGGCAGAAATGGGAATTGTGCCACTGCGGAGGTAGAAATACCGTCAGTTTGTGGAGATGAGATAAATTATTCCTGCTCAGATACGGTGACACACTTGATGAATTTATCACCCGCCGGGAATTGTATTGGTAGCAGCACTTCATCGGCCAAGAGATATCGTCTTATCTCGATGGTAATAAAATAAAATTAGGCAGCTTCCGGAACCCTTTTTTTCCCTCACTGGCGCCCCTCTGGAAAGCCGAAACCCTTGCAGCTCACTCCGAAATGGCGTCGTGCTGGACCCACACAGGAGGACCGATAAATCCCCAACAGTACATGGTGGCAAAGTACCCTAGAAGGGCGGAATATTTGTTTTATTTTTATAGGCCCATATAACCGCCCTTTATGCATTTTCTATCGCAAGAAATTCTCCTTCCCCGTCCATCAGATAATAATAATTTCTCGCATTTTATCGGACATTTCGCCCTGACTCCCTTCTCCGCATTCCCTTTGTCTCATGCCACTGGCTTCTGGGAGAGGATTCCCGAAGATGAGGTATTGATTTTCCATCCCAACCACACAACGTGCATCCAATATTGAACTGAACAGGGGCGTAAATGTTGTCAAGCAGAACGGGAAATGGTGGAAATTTCAGGGAATATTTCACGATTACGCATAAAAAATAATTACATGTTGAATGCACTTACGCCCCGCCCACCCAAAAGCCACGCCTTGAACACTGAAGTAAGAGTTTCCGAAATGTTTCAATATCACCGTGAAATCTTAGAACCCTCTTCTGTTTTTTTTGTCATCACTAGTACGGGTGGGTTTTAAGCTAAATCTCAACTGTGGACGACTGACTATAAATTTTTTAAAACCTTTCGTCCATAGGACAGAATTTTCTGAAATAGAACAATAAATAAAATGTGATACATTCTAGAAACAAAATGAATCATTACTGGATATTGATTATGTATTATGGACTTGAATGAATCATGAGGGATTTGATGTTCCGCATTTCTGGGCAATAATAGAATTTGCCAGGCAAAAATAGGGACGCGTCCCATTGTGTCTCTCGGGACGGGGAGTGTCACATGTATGCTCATATGCCGTGGCGGAGTGTGGGGATCCTCAAAAATGACTAATGATGTAGACAATGAAGTTTCTTCTCCAACACATGACTTCCTTGGGGGCCTCCGAAGGGTGGGCAAAAAATGAAATGGGGTCAATGTGGAGCTGTAACCCTTCAATTTTTCATGCTGCTGTATAAAATGAAACATTTACATGGACGCCTCCATTTCTGCACATTATTCGGCCAAAAAATGTACATAGCCACTACATAAAATATAGAGTAAAAAGATGTGGAAGAGTTGCAACTCATCGTAAAAATATTTCCGTCATTTCGCCACTCTAATAAATGTGCGGCAGGAACACTTTCTGCCTCTGCACATACAATATTTATGGGGCTGAATTTTAAAAGGATTAGTTCACCGAAAGCTCCACACGTTTTGATCTTGCACCCCTTTAGCCATTGTCACCGTTTCTCTGTCTCGCATTTAAAAACCATCCACTTTCACCGCACTTAAAAAATAGCTCAGAACGTATGTGAGTTCATTCATTCTTCCCTGCGTTCTCTCTTGTTCCTCTTCATCGCATGTCCTTTGGCGGTTCTTCTATTCTGAATGCTCTTCACATGGGCTGGAGCGTGGAGAGAGAAATAGGGCAGAAAAAAGAGTGCGGAGTGTACAATGGCAATGCAAAGAATCATCCGGAATTGTACAACCGTCTGTTTGCGCAGAGGGTAAATGAATAAATACGCTCTTTTGCAGACAATTTCAAGAGTTTTCCATCATGTTCTTGCCATAGAAATACCCTGAATTATCGCTTAAGTGGTAAATATTTTGAATATCCTTCTCTGCAGAATGAGAAAATTTCACCTCATGTTTCGTTGTACAATAAGGTTCATTCTTCCTCCATGAAGAATTTGGAAATGATTAAATTTCGCAATGATTAAATAAAATGTTTCACAAGTGGAGCCGCCTGGTGAAACACAAATTCTCTTCAATATTTCTCTTTATTTCCTCTGATAAAAATTTGATAATCCTAATGCCTTTTTAAACGCGGTGTAACAAGCTAATTGGTGTTCTTGATCTCCTGTCCGAGCAAGGAAAGCTGTCTGAGGAACTGCTTAGCGTTATTCAGTGTTGAAGCTCCGTAAATTATTCTCCGAGTGGAATTGGATGTTTGCTTTTGCTGAAAATCGATTAGAATTATGAGTATTTTAATCATCTTGTAAGTTCTGCAAGGCATTCGACTCACCTTGATGAAATCCACAAGATTCTGATACTCTATGTAATTTCCACCGCCCACGATGAACACAATGGCATCCTGGAATGGGGCTCGATTCTTCGGGGCTGTTTCTCCTCCCTTCAGCAGCTTTGGATCGAGATAAACGTACTCCTCAATCTCCCCTCCACTTCGGCACTCCATCAGCTGCTCAGTAATCTTCGTGACTGGCAAGCTGTGACGTTTCACCACAAGATTCTTAACGCCCTCCATGACGAAGGACGAGCCCTGCGAGACCAGCTTTGAGAACATGGACACTGTCTTGGTGCCTCCGCCCTCGTAATGGCTGTTCACAGGCAATGAGGAGCGCTGCATGATTGACTTCCAGCGCTGGATGTACGGCATGGCTGACATATCACACCCAGCTTCCTGAAGGATGGTCTCCAGGCGCTGGTACTCCACCTCCGTCATCCCATTGCAGATGTAGTGGATTATGAAGAGTCTCATCTTGTCCTCCGGCGTTCCAAACTCACCCTCGGTGAGGATTTCAGTGAGGCTGCGATCCAGCGCTGCCTTGGACATGATCTTCTCCTCCAGCTCAAAGAAAGAATCCAGTCGCCGCGCCTTGATGCAGTTCAGAATGGCTGTCGCGATCTTCGTGTGCATGTCAATCAGGCGCTTCATCTCCATGAGCTGCGGCAGGGAGTTCACAGCACTGGTCAGGCGAGCTGTGTTGTCATTCACCATCGAGAAGGCCACTTCACTCTCCGCATCGATTCCCATCGTCGACTTCAGCTTCTTGATCTCGTCCTCGGAGCTACGATACTGCTCCAACTCCTCCTGGATTGCCTCGGCCACTGTTGGAAACGGCGAGCCTTTGTGCGATACCCAGAATCTGTCCTTGCTGTCGAGATCGCACGATCTGCCCTTCGGTCGAGCCCCTCCCACCGGCTTCTCATCATCCTCCACTGTGACTCGATTCAGTGACAGCTCCAGGACATCGTGAGCCAATGCCTGGTACGTCCAGGTGTGATGCAGAGGCGTCGCCATGTCCACATTTCTGTCCAGGATGATCAACAAGGGTCTCTGGAAGCTGAAGGCGCCCGCCTGGGACGCATCCATGTGGAAGAGATTGTTGCGAGCGTCCCACAGGTTCTCCCGCAGTTTCTTCTCCAGCTTCCGGGCCACCATTTCGGCAGCCGTGTTCTTAGGACATCGAATAATAGGCACATTGCCCAGTGTGACGAACACAGAGAACAGACTGTCCACAATGCTGTCCATGATTCCCTCCATTTCCACGTCTTGCGTGTTGGCGCGATTGATGGCGTAATAGGAGAGATTGTCGCTATTCTGATGCTTCAGGACAAACATATCGTCCTCCAGCGTGATGAAGTTCACATATTGATCGTACACTCTGTGGATGTTGGCCACGCAATTGGCCTGCAGCGACGCCGCGGCCAAATCCTCCAGCTTCTGTCTGGAAATGGGCGAGATGAAGTTCAGGTGGTAGACATCGTACAATCCATTCTGGAAATCCTGGCAAATTCGGCCCAGATTCTCATCCGTGGGCGCACAGAAGTAGATCGCCGGCACGTCTGGGATGGTGTCTCTGTCTGAATGCAGTTGCCTGTGAGGAAAAAAACATCAATCAGCTGCCCAGACACTTCCCGGGAGGTTGAACACTCACACATGCAGCGTCACGCCCAATTCCCGAAGCTCTCTAATTGATATCAGCGGAGAAATGATATCCTGACCGACTCTGTCGTATATCAGGATCTTCCAGACGGGCTCAGCAGCGACTGTCTTCGTCTGGGGCTGATTCAGGTTCAGCATCTGCTTGATAGCGCCTAGAAATGAGGAACATTGTGAAAGTTACCAAGAAAAAAGTTTCTCAAATTGCAACACTTCTGTGCTGGGAAAAATAGAAAAATTGAACTCACATATCTGCCTTTCCTTGAGGGTCGCCATCCTGCTCGGAAAATACCGGGGAATTAGTTACAATTAGGGAATTTCGTGAATTTTCCGGGGATTGTTTTGCGTCAGACTTGTCGACGTGTTTGACGGTCTGACTTGCTGAATGCTGACAATCGATGTGTCCTTGCTAGACTCACAGCGCCACTGATGAATGGGTATCAGAAGGTGTGATGTCAACAAAACGTTTCACAATTTCTTTTCCTCTCGCTTTTGGATAAAAAAACGCGCTATAAATTACTCAAAGGTGTGCCAAAGGGATATCCGAGAAGCATTCTATAGTACACAGGAGAAGGATGTCTGTTCAACACGCAGGGAATGAAGATTCAGGTACTGGAAGTGAAACATAACCTAACAGGGAAGGATTCTTATCTTTTTCTGGGCATTTCTTCTAGTTGTCCCGGAAATGGGCGAGCCAGTAACTAAGAAGCGCAAGATAGACGTCCAGGAGGACGAAGAGGATGAAGACACTCCTTCAGTGTTCAATCCGCGGAAGAAACTCTGTCCATATCTGGACACCATAAACCGGCAACTCTTGGATTTTGACTTTGAAAAGCTCTGCTCCGTTTCGCTGACCAGGATCAATGTCTATGCGTGTCTGGTGTGTGGGAAATATTTCCAGGGAAGGGGAACGAACACCCACGCCTACACTCATTCAGTGGCTGAGGCTCACCATGTGTTCCTGAACCTGCACACGCTGAGATTCTACTGCCTTCCGGACAATTACGAGATCATCGATACATCGCTGGATGACATCAAGTACGTCCTAAACCCCACGTTCACCGTGCAGGACATCCGACTGCTGGACAGGGGGAATATGAAGTTCTCCCGGACTGTGGATGGCACGCTGTATCTTCCGGGAGTTGTCGGATTGAACAATATCAAGAGGAATGATTACTGCAACGTTGTCCTGCAAGCCCTGGCTCATGTGGCTCCGCTGAGGGATTACTTTCTGAGTGAAAGGAACTATGCGAAGATCAAGAGGCCGCCTGGAGATTCAATTTTCACACTCGTTCAGAGATTTGGTGAGCTCATGAGGAAGATGTGGAATCCGCGGAACTTCAAAGCGCATGTCTCTCCGCATGAGATGCTGCAGGCGGTGGTTCTGTGGAGCAACAAGCAGTTCCAGATCACAGAGCAAGGAGATCCCATTGACTTTCTCTCGTGGTTTCTCCACACACTTCACAAGGCGATGAAGGGCACGAAGAAGCCCGACTCCTCGATCATCTACAAGTCTTTCCTGGGTGAGATGAAGATCTACACGCGAAAGATCCCACCCACGGAGCTCGATGACACCCAGAAAGCCCTGCTGATGGCCACCGATGAGTACCAGGAGAAAGTGGAGGACTCAAACTTCCTCTATCTCACCTGCGATTTGCCTCCACCGCCGCTCTTCATCGACGAGTTCCGCGAGAACATCATCCCGCAGGTGAATCTCTACCAACTCCTCTCAAAATTCAACGGTGTCTCTGAGAAGGAGTACAAAACGTACAAGGACAACTTCATGAAGCGCTTCGAGATCACGAAACTGCCGCCCTTCATAATTCTCTACATCAAGCGCTTCACGAAGAACACGTTTTTCCTGGAGAAGAACCCAACTATCGTCAATTTCCCGATAAAAAACGTGGACTTCGGGGACATTCTCACGACAAAGTACAGGAACATCATCAAGCGGACCAAGTACAGCCTCATCGCTAACATTGTGCACGACGGGGAGCCGGGAAAAGGCACGTACAGGTCGCATATCTTCCACAAGGGCAGCAATACGTGGTACGAAATGCAGGATCTCCACGTGATTGACACCCTGCCGCAGATGATCACGCTCACTGAGAGCTACATTCAGATTTATGAGCTGCAGGACGATTGAGAAAGGAATAAATGGATGTGGCGCTTTTCGCTGAATAACAATAAGTGTGAATTTTCTTTGGCTGAAATTGAAATGTCGCAACTCAAAAGCTCGCTTTATTAATTTGATGTCACAGAAAATACAATAGACTTTTATGCCGTGGGAAACCAATAATTTTGGTGAAGCAGCAAAAAAGTCTCCTCCGTTCTAAATATAGAAATGAAGGAATTTAGAATGAAGAAAAACATGTTTTACTCCAAGTGGAAGTGGATTTTCGCCATGGCAAAAAGGACAATTTTTGTGATAAAGCTGCGCTTGCAACACGATATAATTATATACATATTTCGCCGATCTGTCTTGCAGTGCACATTCTCTGATGTAATAGAAATATTTTCTGTAATGTTCTCAGGCGTTTGATATGACATGAAAAACAAGCAAACAAACAAACAAACCACTAAATCATCAACAGCCAGATGCTGAGGTGATAAGTGTATAAAAACGGCGATGCGCATTCTCCTCTCCTCGCCATCAGTCTAGGTGTGTGCCTTCAGAAGGAGATTCGCACTGAAAAGCCACTCAGCAGTTCATCCATTCACTCTTCAGCGGCACGAGAGATGATGAGGCAGACCTCAACTCGGGACGTCGTCGCGCTGAGCACGCTATTAATAAGTGATTTTATTTCAATGAAATATTTACACAAAATATACCTTCGTCTTTTTACTCACTTTTCATGACAACAATTCAAATGACTGCCATTGAAGTTGCTATTCACTCTGCAAATTTGCCTTTTTCCCTCGCATTTACACTGGGTGGAAGAGTTTTAGGCACAGGACAAGAAATTAAGGGTTTACTGCGCATTTGACGGTAGATAATGAGGAAAAGATTGAGTATTTTCATACTGCTTCCCTTGTGAAGTTCCTGCTCTGGAATATTTCTTATATGATGTTATAAATTGGAATTGGAAGCATTGTGACAAAATACAAACTTTGGAAAGTGTTTTTTAGACCTGCGACTCTCGCATTATTTCCCCAAGTGTATGTAAAACGGCCGCAGATGTGGCTGGTTGTGGGAAAACGGAGATTCCAAAGAGTGGGAGAAGCTCGAAAAAATACATGGCAGCGCAGATTATATAAAATGTTTCCACAAAGTCTACAAAATGTGTTACCTGTGCTAATACTTTCCCCCCTCGCTCTTTCCCGGCCGCGCCCGCCTCACAAGACTGCTCGTCTACGGGCAGTCTTTTCTCGCATCGTCCATGCCACGGAGTGTTAATTAAGAGAGATATTCTCTCGGTAAATTTCCAGAACTCACTTCTGTTGGCTGCGCCGATGGTGTGGCGGATCAAAGTTCATGGCACCAGGCGACCCCACTGACAGGCATTGCCAGACAAATCGACTCTGAGTTTCCAGCAATTATCGCAGACCGCGTGCTGTAGGAATGGCCAAGGTTTTGACGATCCCCGAGTGTCTCTCATCTCGATCACGTCCCCCCCACTCTTCGATATGCAAAAGTGATGTTTCAGGAATTTATGGCGTCCGTTTGATAGGCTCTCTCTCGCACTCAATGCTCGCAATGATTTACCGGACAAATGCGGGAATGGGCGATGCTCCAGGTGGAGTTGCTGGTGAAGGCAGAAATGGAATATTTAATATTAGTCACAGGCAGATTTTTCCCCATTCTCAACTCTTGTGAGATAATATTCTCCAAATTATAGAATTTTAATGAAGTTGCCTTAATTTCGTGTTTTTCTACATTCTTCTTTATCATCATCTCACGAATGACGACAGTTCCCAGTGACTTATTGTTAAATGGATGTATTTTGGGACTCGATAATGTGAGATTTGACCACAAGTGGAGGTGAAAAGCTGTGGTTTTCAGCGCTTGATTTCATTTGACTCAAATGAGCAGACATAAAAACTGCTTAAAGTGATTCTATACATAACATTATCTGATAAAATATCACACGCATGAGACTTTTACGACTCTCAAATTTCCTCTAATGTTGTTTCCATATTGACAGATACATTCTGCCCATCGTCCGATTAATTGCGTGATTGAGAGCCACACTAAAATAATGGATTATTTCGGGGAAATATGCGAAACAAAATGCGGAGAACTTCCTTGACCTTCTGGCGTTTATAGTGTTATAGTTTTCCTTATCAATATTCATCAATGCTTGCGACATAATAAAAGGCAGATAAAAACTTTTAATTAACTCTTCACTAATTTTTATCACAGCATTGAGAGACCAAATGAGCTACCACATGCCGATAGAGATGTAAATTGAATTTGCAGACATTGTGGTTTTTTTCCTTGGACTCTCATCGCGCTCCTGCGCGCGCAAGTCTTGCGGAAATGATCAAATTAACCTCTCAATTAGTCGTCCTGTCGTCGTGCAGACGTTGCAATGACGAAAGAATGTGACTTTTTTTATTGGCAAGGCCATAAAATAGAGATTGTTAGGTATGCAAAATTAAACGGAAAATAATCTCCATGAAAAAACATAAGATCACATCATGGGAATTTCTCAGACATGAGAAAAAATTTTTATGCGTGAAATAAAGGAAATTTATTTGGTCATAAAAATTGTTTCGATTGACCTTGCAATATAGGAAATTGCAAGAATATTCTTTCCGCATTTGCATAAATTCTACACCATTGTTGAAGTCAAGGGTGAGGAAGAGAGAAATTACAATAATATCACAATAAAGTAGTTTAAATGAAGTGGATTTGTGAGATGTTTGCGATGTCATATTTAGTAGATATTATAATTCATTTGCATTTTAAACTGATATTTGACTTACTCGACTGATTGTTTTGCGCCTCACTGTAAATTTAGCGTTCATACAGATCTTAAGTATATGGTAAAGATATAAAGTCGCGATTTTTTAACACGAAGGAAAACCAGTTTAATGCGATTTTTCTCGCGAATCAACTAATACGGGAAGAAGGAAAATTAGTTAATTAATAACATCACTAAATAGTGTTGCTGGCAGAGTTTGTAATATTCATAAATCAATCAAAGAGTGGAGAAAAAAACGTGAAGAACTACTATGGAATTGTGAGGCAACAATGGTACTTTTTGCCCCTCTGAAGAGGCGCCTAAATAAGTTTCGGTGGCGCTTCTGGGACGAAGAAGGCTCAAAGAAGAGGCCCTCTTTTTCTCCCGACGCGCACAAAAGTTTCTTTTCTAATAAAGGAGATAAATACCTTGAACTTGTGCGCTGTGGACAATTGGGTAAAGAGACACGTCTCTCTATATGGCTTCACACCTGGTGAGCGCCTCTTTCATCGTCACTCCTCGCCATCTCAATACAGAATCCACGGCACGTATAAAGTACAATCGATCGTGGCATGTTCGCGGACTGTAAAGGGTGAAAAGAGGCAGCAAGAAGTGGGAAAAAGTGTGAATGAAGAGACAACAATCACTGGCATAAATATATAAATTGGACACTGCAACAAAAGCGATTCAGTCCGCATGATCGTTCTCTTAATCGATAAGAGCCACCGAGCAGATTCATAAATAATTGTGAGTGGAAAAATTTAGATTTTTTCCCACAACTATAGAATTTTTTCCTCCTCAAAACTCTCCATATCGCATGATTTTAGCATAAATTTCCATTGACTGTGACTCGTTCTGTACGTCCTCAGCGCATTTGTCATTCCGGGTAAAATCCCGCCAAACACCTGATCCCCTCGAACCAAATCAATTTAGAGCTGCCCATTAGCATTCTTAATTTCTGTGTTGGTTTGTTCGCTGGACAAAGCCTCTAAGCATCGATAATGGCTGGGAGAATTATCTCATGGGTGAGCATAAACAGTGCACAGTTTGCGAGGAAATGAACCTCTCAGGGAGCAATAATAACTCATTGGCTAATACGAACCACTCCGGCTCACTTTGGATCATAAATAAAATAATGATATGTATTTAAATATAAATAATTTAAGGATAATTAGTCACTCCCATGCCACCACTTAAGCATGGCACTTCTCAATCGACGGTTCTGAGCCACGGCGTTTAATAACACACCAGCACGTGGTAATTAGTGCAAATTCTGCTCAATATAGACAATTTAATTATTAATTGCTCAAGTGAAATTGTGTGCTGCTCGTACGCGATTTAACCGCTGGAATTTTCTTACAATAAATTTCCATTCAGCGTCACAGAGAAAAGAGTGATTCAAGGAAGTTCTTGTTGCTCTCGATCTTTTGCGCACTTATATGACTTCGATTCTAGCTAAAGCGCGCTGTATTAAAAGAAAGAAACTTTCCCTGTCCAGTCACAATATTGCTTGCAGTCAATCGAAGCTCTGCCGCTTGTCCTCTCGCTGATGATGAACTTTGCAGAGTGTTGGCTCAGCGCAATTGACGATTCATTTGAATGCACCTCGGCCGGAGATGGCAGGAATTTAAATTAGCCTCTCGAACATTTGCATTAATTGACAAATTTTCAAAATTTTAATTGACAAACAATTACCGGGCGCAGGAGAGGCTGCAAGCTAGGAGCTGCGCGCGCAGACGCGATATAGTATTGCTAGAAGTTCGGCTGGAGAAGCCACGAGGAGTGTATATTTGAATGTCTTTCTGTGGGACAAGGTGAAATAACCTCCGCACACAGCTTCGGAATGTTAATTGCACAGCCGCGCACAAAGCTGAGACGCGGGGATATAAAAAGCTATTATACAGCCGTGGCTTTTCATGGGTGCGCGCGAGCGAGACGGCCCGAGAGGCCCGAGGATGCCAGAGGGAGATGGCCAGCGTCATGACGACCAATGTTGGAGCAATGTCTGCGATGGCTGAAGCGAGGGACTCTTTTTCATTGTGATGATGATGGTCTCGCAGGAGTTATCTTCTCGCTGGGGCCTTTTCCCGCTGCTGTCCTCCTCCCGTGTGCGCCACATAATGCAGCCCCCCGTGCCACCATGGGTAATATTGTATGCACAAATCTTCCTCTCCTTTTGCCCACTGTCAGCTCCGCGAGAGATTCCGCGGTGAGAGAGAGAGAATTCCTTTCGAACCCATTTGAACCTCCAGTTTCTGCCATTCCTTTCACTTTGCTCGTTTTTTTGCGCCATGTAATTTGTGTTAATGCAATTCTTTTTGTTTTGACATAACCGAGCGAGGAAGCACACGGGGGCAAAAAGACATCGGCGAGCCGCGCTCGCGGAATGGCCATCGAGGGGTTGAACTGCGATGCTCTTTGCATGCCGGAGAGATATGCTTAATTGCTGGGAACGGGGGAGACAATGGGGAGCGTCTCGCATTGAAAGGATCACCCAAGAATTCCAGACCTATTAAGCGATGGTGTCAAATTCAAATTCTGAGCTGAAGCTCATCGGAAGTTATTTGGAATGGAATTTATCGGGCGACACTGAGGAAAATTCACTCGGTCGCGATGCTGCTTGCTGGCCGCTGGACTGCTGCTTAAGAGGCGTGATTTTCCTGAGTGCATCGTCAAGACCAAGTGGACTGTCGGACAAAAAGGACAACGACTATTTCAATGTGAAAGAATACAACAATGTTAATTAATCGCAATGTTCTCTCCCGTGTGCGCATTTTTCTCATTCGAGATCCTATTGATGCTTTCACGACTTGGTACAAATGCCTCGGTTCCCATCCCAGACGCGAGGACCACCGCGATGGCCTGGTG